GGGGAAGAACAGGGAAGGGGGAAGAACAGGGAAGGGGGAAGAACACGAAAGCTAGGGGCAAGGGCACAAGGGGGAAGAACAGGGAAGGGGGAAGAACAGGGAAGGGGCAAGAACACGAAAGCTAAGGTGCAGAAACACTGGGGGGAAGGGAGAAGAACACAGGAGAAGAACACAAAGGATTTGGCTAACTTTGCAGTCTGGTTGGTAGCATGCTTTGGAAAATATTTTCAAGTTGGAAATTGTTTTTCAAAGTTTCACTTTGGTGGGATGGGAGAAGTGCTCAACAGTGTTCTTTGGAGAATGTTAAGAATGACAGCTGAGAATGTGCAAAATGGCATTCCAAATCTTTGATAAATTATTAAACCCATTGAGTGGCAGCACTCTCCCCCTGATGAATAAAATCGCCTGGCATTAGACAGAGTAAAGTAGTAAAGTGGACCGCATCTGGGTGCAGTGCCAGTTAATTTATAGGGTTAACCTGAAATCAACAATAACACATTATTCCAACATTTGAAATTATTTTTCAAGAAATTCGTTAATGTTCAGAAAATCTAATCAAAGTTCTTGACAAATTCAAACACCTGTGTAATGAGGTTTTCCTCACTAATTGGCAAAGAGCATGTAGGGTGTTGGACCCTAATTATCTCCTGAGAATAGCTTGACTATTTTTAAAAACTTTGCTTCTGAAAAATTTGTCCCAAACCTTAATGCAGATCACCTAGGGTTCTGGCATTCAGACCCAGTAAAAATCAGCATCAACCAACTTTGATGATTTATTGGGGACAGGGGTGGATCCAGTCAGATCTTGTGGGGGGAGGGGGTCCCTATTTTGCCAAAACTAAGAGGGGTGCACACCCCTAGAACCCCCTCCCTCCACCTGGTTGGGCCATTTTCTTTTCCCCCGCTGAAAAATATCTGTGCAAACCTTTCTGGATTTACACCTGGTGGTCAGATTTGCTAGGGGTCGCTGTTGATGTTGTACCTAGGATGGAATGCAGCTTGGCATTTCAGCTGTATGAGTACGGTGGCTAGGAGATAAAGAACTTGTCATTTGCGTACCAGCCACGTTAAATTTTGCTGTTGTCACTATTTACTTGCAGAGTTTTTAACAAGTCTTACTTTGCAAATCGAAGTCGCATGAATGAAGTCTACTCTGCTTGCTTACAGGAAACTCTTTATGGAGCTCGCCTGCTTCTTTGCTATGGAATGACAACTGTTTGACATGACTTGACCAGCGCGTAAATAATAAAGCGTGTGTTTAGGCGTGTTTCTGTTCGTAGTCAGAAGTAAAGCTTTGTAACGTTTAGAGGGGATCACACATGTTTTGTATATTAATTCTCGTGTTTGTCACGTTTTCAAATTAAAATTCTCAGACGGGATATGTAAACATACCATGTACCGTTGGAACGGAGTTGGTGTGTGTGCCAAGGCGCACGTTTCTCGCCTAGAATTGCTTTTTGACTCACGGATGTTGCGCGAAGCAACAACTGTGAGTCTTTGTGGTTACTTAAGTGTGGGGTGGGAGCAGTTAAACAATAGGAAATGACTAGCCTGCTTTGCGCGCACTGTTTGCCTACGAATAGGGAACCTGCGTTCGTTCTTTTGATTTGGCAAAAGAAGCAGGACAAACGGCAAAAACAACTGCAAACCGCTCTAATTCTTTCTGTCACTTTCATTTGATCTCGTCCGTGAGTCGGCCTCAACTGCCTTTGATTTTCATTGTTGTGAAATACATGTTCTGAATAAAATGTTACTAACATAGATATCTTATATACACTAGATAGCGCATCTCTTTTAGTAAAATTGAAGCCAAGAATATTCCAGCGGTTACTCCCATTTGAATAGATGGCGGCCATGTTGGAGTTTCCCACTCGCTAATAAACGCTTAAAAAACAACAATAACTTTCATCATTTGAATATAGTTTGAAAATGTATTTGGAATAGGTTTAACTTAATGTTTAAGTTCCCTGTTTAAGAAATAGAAAACATACGCGTCTTCTCATTTCATGGGAATATCCTGAGTCTGCAATCACGGCTTCAATTTTTGAATTGCAGAATAATTAGATGCACTATTTAGTGTATATAAGATATCTATGGTTACTAAACACTGAGCCAGTTTCCTCAAACATTTCTTACAAATCCTTCGAAACCAAGAATTTACCGATGCAAAATTTCTACTGTGATCACACAGACCATTCCGAAGTTGATGAGTGGACTGGGGACGAATGTTAAAAAGTGCCCAAATTAAGAAATGAACCTAATCTCTAAAAAGACCACCTCAAAATTAGTAAGTATACAAAGTTTGAAGACGTTTACATGAATATCCTTCGAATAATAGGTTTTCGAAAATCGCGATATTTACCATGAAATGTATTGTAATTTTTGTTTTGGGGACGCGCGTCCCAAAAACAATCTTTTAATCAGTAATTTCACAATTTTCGAAAGCTTATTATTCGAAGGGTATTTATGTAAACGTCTTCAAACTTTGTATACTTACTAATTTTGAGGTGGTCTTTTTAGCTATTTGGTTCATTTCTTAATTTGGGCACTTTTTAACACTTGTCCCCAGTCCTCTTGTCAACTTCGGAATGGCTTATTGCACATAAGGCCCCGTTTACACTATATATACCGGATTCGCTTGTCACGACATCTTCGTTCGCTATTTACGAGCAATGTTTACTAACAACGGTTTACTCATTTGGTAGTTTTTGTACATTTTTTTCGTGTCACTGTCGTTAAAAATTTCCTCAGCACTTCACTAGCTGTTAAATTTTACCCACTACTTACGATAGTAATCCGGTATAGTGTAATCGGGCCTTAAGTGAAGGTCTCTGACCAAACGCTGTTCAATACAAACGCTCGTTCTCTGTCCTATTTAGAGTACAATCGACGCGACAACTTTAGGAGAGGCACATGGAATGCTGTCAGATTTACTGGCCGACTCGAACCTTCCCGCTAATGTCGCCAGCACTTTGAAAGCCATCAGCACCATGATTGCGCAGCCTACATTCAGCAGTTTCGCACGTGGGGTGAATTCTATGAGCCCATTGGTCGAGAGCCGATTTGTCCCGGATGAGAAAATATGTGAACAGCCGGACATGCGGGACGACGGTTGGGTAAGTTGAGCTCTGTTTATATCTGGAGTGATGTTATTGTTTCTACAATTTCTTATGAGAAAGATGAATTAATAAATTACTCATTATAACTAATGCTTCATTCAGCGTTCGAGACCACATCACAATCGGCGAATGTCGAACTTATTCACGACGACGACATCGGCGACCGGAATGCCGACGGTGGAACGAGACGGTGGCGTGTCCATCCCGAACAACATCGGCCACACAATCCCAGGTTCACCCAGATCCGGCTCTCCCACCTTCCTACCTTCCTCCAAACTTTTACGACAGGTGAGAATGACTGCCAAGAATGACTGCCGTCAATTTCCGGCCGAGGACTTTAGTTTAGTTTAGGTTTCTTCCTGTAGCAACACTGGATCAATAAGAGATGATCCTTACTGGACTTCTAGGAAGAACAATTTAGAACTGATAGAGCTATCCAGTATAAATAAAGTTAGTTTAGTTTAGGTTTCCTCCTGTAGTAATAATACTGGATCAATAAGAGATGGTCCTTACTGGACCTCTAGGGAGAACAGTTTAGAACTGATAGAGCTACCCAGTATAAATAAAGTTAGTTTAGTTTAGCTTTCCTCCTGTAGTAACACTGGATCAATAAGAGATGGTCCTTACTGGACCTCTAGGAAGAGCAGTTTAGAACTGATAGAGCTATCCAGTATAAATAAAGTTAGTTTAGTTTAGGTTTCCTCCTGTAGTAACACTGGACCAATAAGAGATGATCCTTACTGGACCTCTAGGAAGAACAATTTAGAACTGATAGAACTATCCAGTATAAATAAAGTTAGTTTAGTTTAAGGCTATGTGCACACGGGCGTCGTTTTCGAGCGTTTTCAAAAACGTTTTTGTCCCTTTAATCGCTTTGATGCCCTGTTCACGTGGTTCAAAGGAAAATATCTCCAATATATTAAATAAACTACAGCTTCAGTCGTAAATTAATAGTTTTCGCATCCGTTTTAGCGTGAAAACGCAAATGAAAACGCTCGAAAACGTTACCGTGTGCACGTAGTCTAGGTTTCCTCCTGTAGCAACACTGGATCAATAAGAGATGATCCTTACTGGACTTTTAGGAAGAACAGTTTAGAACTGATAGAGCTATCCAGTATAAATAAAATTAGTTTAGTTTAGAAGTAACACTGCCGGTATCAATAAGAGATTAGACAGATTTAGATCGAGGACGTCAAAGACGACGTGAATGAAAATGGCGTGGCATATCCATACATGGCCACAACACGCCATTTTTACGTCGTCTTTGACGTCCGCGTCCTCGATTTAAATTTGCCTATTATCTTTATTGGACCTCTAGGGAGAACAGTTTAGAACTGATAGAGCTATCCAGTATAAATAAAGTTAGTTTAGTTTAAGAATTTATGTTTGTCAATTTAGGCAAAATCACTTCCTCACAATATGCCTCATCTACAAGACAACGCCAAACCAAACGAAGCCCGCTCCTCTTCGCCCGTACTTCGTAAAATACCATCGGAAAACGGCGCTTTTACGGCCGTCAACGAAGAAAAACCGAAGTTAGAGGAAAGCTGTAAAAATTGCGGATGCTCGGAAACTCACGTCACGACTTCGGAGGACAGCGAAACCTGTGAATCTTCGAACGAATTAACATTTCCCGCGATGTCGTTTTATGGCAAGCGGAAACCTACGGTCGATGAAATTCTGGAGAAATCGAAAAATATTAAACAAAGCGAAGAAGTCGAAAAATTGTATGACAAAATTGATAGCTGGAATTTCCCCATATTTGATGTCTGGGAAAACGGGAATGTTTTGCGTGGGGTAGGTTTTGTTCTCTTTTCACGGCCACCGTGGGCACTTAGGAATATTTGGGTGGCTTGGTGTGTGGGTGGATGGATCGGTGGCTTGCAGGGTCTTAGCTAGGATTTTAGATCTTGGGCGTGTTTCTAATGACCAGGGTGTGCACATGTCAATTACCTTGAATAGCCAAATCATGGCTCTGGTTATGCTTGCCAACAAACAATGCCTGTGGTTGTTCTATGCTTTGCAACCAAATACAAGGCGAGCATACGCTCATATTGCGCACTGACATTAAAATATTAAGTTATTTCAGCAACTATTGAGGGCATAAAACACCATACATTTTTAAACACCATACAGTTCCCATTATCCATCAAAACATTAAAACATCACGGATCACTTTTGCCAATTCAACAACAACAGTAGACTCTACAAACTTTCTTAACGTAAATCAGTAGGAAGAAATTCTGTCTGTTGTAAGTAGCACCACCTTATTTTATGAACCTATACAAGGTCTTATATAAATAGTGAAGTCGGGCATGCAGTCACCATTTTAATGTCTTGTCTAGGTTGCATTCAAGATATTTAAAAAGTCCGGTTTCTTTGAGAAGTTTCGAATACGTGAACAAGTGTTCCTGAACTACTTCACCGCGCTAGACGCCGGATACAACGATATACCATGTAAGTGTGTGATTTATACAAGACACAGATGACCCATCTTCGCAAATTTGAGCCAAGAAACTTTAAAAGAAAAGTCGTCAAGTTTAGATTAGTGTCAGATTAATATTAGATTAGGGTTAGATTAAGATTAGATTAGGGTTAGAATAAGATCAGATTAGGGTCAGAGGTTAGAAGTTAGGGTTAGCATTAGAGTTTTCCCTAGATAGATGATTATCTATTTGTGCACTTATGACAATTGATGCTATTCATCTATTCATCCCGGAGACTGTGCTGTAAAAATATGCATTTTGCCGTCGAAAGTAGTTAAGAGTTTTATACGATTCGCCCCAGGCGTGATTTGTTTCCCTGGACAATAACCAGTATAGATTTTATAGCTGTAACAGCTTGTCTATTCTGCCCTGTTTGTAATACCCTATTCTATCTCGTTCCCAGACCACAACAGTGCCCACGCGGCGGACGTGTTACATGGCGTATATTACTTCACAACACAACGTATCGCGGGCTTTTGCCCCTTCGATTCCAGCGATCGTAACAGCGATTCTGATTCGGTAAGCGGCGACCAATCAGACGAGGCGACAGAATGCGTGGAGCAATATGATAGGTTGACAAGCTGTATCCCTGATCTAGAAAGGTTTGCGCTGTATTCAGCGGCGGCAATGCACGACTACGACCATCCTGGGCGGACAAATGCGTTTGTGGTTGCTACATTGGAACCTCAGGTAGGTTCTGCATGCAGGTTGTATCATTTTATAAACCCTGGTAGTCCAGTACCTTGGCAGAACGCCTGAAATGTTATATACTGTACTGAATAGCTCTATCAGTTCTAAACTGTTCTTCCTAGAGATCCAGTAAGGGCCTTCTCTTATTGATCCAGTGTTACTACAGCAGGAAACCTAAACCTAACTAACTTTATTTATACTGGATAGCTCTATCAGTTCTAAACTGTTTTTTCTAGAGATCCAGTAAGGATCATCTCTTATTGATCCAGCGTCACTACAAGAGGAAACCTAACCTAAACTAACCTTATTTATACTGGATAGCTCTATCAGTTCTAAACTGGTCTTCCTAGAGATCCAGTAAGGGCCTTCTCTTATTGATCCAGTATTACTACAGGAGGAAACCTAAACTATTTATTTTTTTTTTATTTTTTATTTAAAATGCTTTGCCATTACAAACAATACGAATTTACGATACTGACAATACATACACTAATACATGGCTGGGTTATCATCACAGCTCCGTAGGATAATATCCACGGGAGCCAATTACGATGAGCCCTGAACTAAACTAACTTTATTTTTACTGGATAGTTCTATCAGTTCAAAACTGTTCTTCCTAGAGGTCCAGTAAGGATCATCTCTTATTTATACTGGATAGCTCTATCAGTTCTAAACCGTTCTCCCTAGAGGTCCAGTAAGGATAATCTCTTATTGATCCAGTGTTACTACAGGAGGACAACCTGAACTAACTTTGTTTTTCCTAGATAGCTCTAATAGGTTTTTTTCGCTGGCCTCGGAGTGACAAAACGTAACAAAGCAACGGTTTTACTAACACTAGCCCTATTCCAAACACCAACTCTAATCCTAACCTAACCCTACTCCAAGTTTGTTTCTAAACCAATCTTGAAGATAAAAATTTTGACGAAATGTCATTCTGAGGTCAGCGAAATAACTTCTTCCTGACAACTCGCATCCCCTTGTTTAATTCTGGCTTCATTGTTTTACCAGGCTCTGCTGTACAACGATCGCTCAGTACTTGAGAATCATCATGCCGCTCAAGCATTCTCTCTCTTGCTCTCTAATCCTGAGTATAATTACGTCGAGTCCCTCACGACTGCAGACTTCAAGAGGTTCAGATTTCTGGTTATTGAGGCTGTGCTGGCCACAGATCTCAAACGTCATTTTGACGTCCTGCAAGAATTCACTGCCAAGGTACGTGTTCCTACGTCTTTTACTTTTCGTTTACACACTGAAAAATTCTTCCAGTAAGAATCATTTCTTATTGATCCAGTGTTACTACAGGAGGAAACCTAAACTAAGCTAACTTTATTTGTACTGGACAGATTTATCAGTTCTAAACTGTTCTTCCTAGAGATCCAGTAAGAATCATTTCTTATTGATCCAGTGTTACTACAGGAGGAAACCTAAACTAAGCTAACTTTATTTATACTGGATAGCTCTAACAGTTCTAAATATTCTTCCTAGAGGTTCAGGAATTCCATTCATTTACTTAAACCATAGTAGACACTAGACTGGAGTGTTGAAACGTTAGCGATTACATTCATTTAGCGAAACATGTCTGATATTGTACGTGGTTGGCGCGACCTTATATATTAAAGCGTGAACGATGTCTTTCAGGTCGACAGTGGTGCAGGTATAGACTGGTCTTTGGAAGCTGATCGCTTGCTCGCCTCGCAAGTCTGTATAAAGATGGCAGACATTTCTGGACCAACGAAACAGAAAGATATACATCAACGATGGACGGAGAGAATTGTCGAAGAATTTTATGAACAGGTTTGTATGAATCACAATAGACTTGATAGATTAACCAGTACAGTGGTAGGGCTCGTATGTCCGAGCCATTATTATATCAGGGCCTATATTGCATTTCTCGCGTGCAACTGCTTCAAGTTTGGTCAATTTAGGTTCTGGTTAATGTTTTGGGGTTGTTTTGAGGGTTGTTTTGGAGATTGTTTTGGGTTTGTTTTGAGGTTGTTTTGGATTTGTTTTGGGGTTGTTTTGAGGTTGTTTTGGTGTTGTTTTGAGGATTGTTTTGGAGTTTGTTTTGGGGTTGTTTTGGATTTGTTTTGAGATTCTTTTGGGGTTGTTTTGGATTGGTTTTGGGTTTGTTTTGAGGTTCTTTTGGGGTTGTTTTGGGGTTTGTTTTGACTTTGTTTTGGGGTTGTTTTGGGGTTGTTTTAAGTTTGTTTTGGGTTTGTGTTGGGTTTGTTTTGGGGGTTGTTTTGAGGTTGTTTAAATATTAAATATTTTGTAAAGTAGCTATGAATGAAATCTTCTGTTGTTCACCCAACGTCAATGACAACAATTTGAACAAAGAAGTGATACAAAAAACAAGCACTGTAGTTTGTAAATTTAAGCAAAAAAAAAAACGAACAGACGCTGTAGTTTGTAATTTAAGGTACAGCGGGTGGAATTGCCTCGGCCTTTTTTTGGCGAGGCAAACCATGAAAAATCGTAACTTGCCTCGGCAATTGCGTCGGCAATTGCCGAGTGCTGAGGCGAATTTCGAGGGTTGCGGTTAGTTTGAAATTACCATCTACAAATGCCTTCGACATTATTATATATTTCTTTCTGATCCAGGGCGAGGACGAGCTAAACAAAGGCCTCCCAGTTTCGCCATATATGGATCGCAAAGTACCGTTAATCGCTCAACTTCAGGAAACTTTCATCAAGCACTTAGTCGCACCGCTGTTCAGATCCTATCGTAGCGCGGGCCTGCTACCTGGTGTCTGGGTGACGTCATCCGAGTATGACGTCACTAACGATAGCGATAACGACAGCTCTACGAAAGATGACGAAAGCACAGAGCACTCCGATTCTGGTGTCGGCCATCACCGAAGCTATCCCGGCAAGAAACGACTGGGTAAAAAGAAAAAGCGAAGGTAGGACCATAGAAATAATAGACTGCGCGTACTTGACACGAATCTTGTCTCAACTTTTTCTTATGTGTGCCCAGGGTGCGATAATTCGCGTACTTACGTACCGGAGGTACGCCAATATTACTCTCTGGTACTTCTTTGTTTTTAGCCACGTACCACGTAAGTACGCGGAACTCTTGCTATCTGCGTACTTACTTTTTGCTAGTACCACATGACCTTTCCAAGTGCAAGGTATTCAATACCGTAATTTAGTTGGTATATCATGTGTCTGAGATGTCTTGGCATGAAACATGATTGCACTGATGGCACTAAGAAACGTTGGAGTCGGTTGTTTGAAATAGCAAAACTCCGTTTTTAAATAGCAAAACTCCCTTTTCAAATAGCAGAACACCCTTTTCAAATAGCAAAACTCCCTTTTCAAATAGCAAAACTCCCTTTTCAAATAGCAAAACTCCCTTTTCAAATAGCAAAACTCCCTTTTCAAATAGCAAAACTCCCTTTTCAAATAGCAAAACACCCTTTTCAAATAGCAAAACTCCGTTTGCTATCTCGTAGTCTGAACATACTTTTCAGAAACCTGTACTTTATGAACCTTATTTTTAAAGCTAAGTACACATTGAGTACTGAGTTTGTTCTAGCGCAAGTACGCGGCAACAACCATTGGCGTACCAGTCAGGTACGACTAGAAATCTTGAATGATCGCACCCTGGTGCCCTTATAAATCCGCCATGTTGAGTATGACTAGGAGTGAGAATTACAAAGCATAAACAAAGCTAAGACTGACGCCTGTATTCTAAAAGCTCTCACACTCAATGAGTGGAAGTTCAATCTGAGCTTCTCTTGAGTGTCAATGCTGTTTTTGAACAGCTGGAGGGTGAGTAATCGCATAGAAAGGTACGACACTAACCCTCCAGCTATTCAAAAACAGCAATGACACTCAAGAGAAGCTCAGATTGAACTTCCACTCATTGAGAGTGTGTGTGAGTGGGCTTTTAGAATACAGGCGTAAGTTTTCATCGTCGAAACGTTTTGTCTTACTGTCTAATTTGCAGTTTGAAGATAGATTTTGAAATATTAAGTTCTTTGAAGGCAGAAAAGAAAAATTAATGTAAATGCTGCTGCATCAGTTGTGCATTTACAAAAACTAACTAGTTCCATATTTAAGACAGTTGAAACGTACGGTTTCCCCTCAGCGTTTCTCGTGTAAACTGGAAGTCTGGAAAATTATTCCACAGTTGAGTGGCAATGAAAACATATCCTCTTTTCAAACATAGAAAACGAAGGCGAGCCTCGAAGGAAATTCATTGTGAAATTATGGAGAATATCGAGAGTAATTACCAAATGTGGAGCAGGCGAATCAAGGAAATGGAGCTGGAGAAACAGGCTTGTAGTAAGGGAAAAGCGAAGGACAACCCCCCTGAAAGTGGGGGAATCACAGAGGAAGACGATTCTTCACAGGGGGGTGCGGCTGACACAAGAGAAACCGAGGTATGAATGTCGTTATTGTTCTAATATTGTGCGATGAACGTTGTGTGTGTGTTTGAAGGAATTTTGATGTATAAACCACGAATAGTCAAAGATAAAATGCTTCTATTTATTTATATTTCTTTGCTATTCTCACATGAAACTTTCGTGTTTGCTAAGAACATTTGGGGTAGTTCCTCGGGTAGAGGAGAAGTGATCACGTGATCGGCTAGTTGTGTTGTTTGTGGCGTCAGATATAACCAAATCCCTATCTCTAAGCCTAATCCTTACCCTAACCCTCACCCTAACCCTAACCCTTACCCTAACCCTTACCCTAACCTCAAAACTAATCGCTATAACTAACTGATGACGTAGTCTGTGATGCAAATTCTTCTACCCGAGGATGTACCCAACATTTGACATGCTTTGATCCGATCAGTCAGTCATGTTTATTAAATAACCTGACGCTGATTGCCTGAGCAGATTGAAACTTTCAAATGTTTTCTTGTGAGAATAGGCAATGTTTTCATCTCGGACTGTTTATTCGACGACGCTGTTGTGTCATAGTTGGGTTTTATTGAAGTGTTTTCTATGGTGCTTGGCAGTTAACATCAATTGTAAGGATGCTTATCAGAGTGATAAAATGATGCTAAATGTTTTCAATACATGAATTCAGGGTTGCCGAGAGGGGAAGGGGCTGCCCTGGGCCCCCAACTCAATAGGTGCCCCAAAGGCCCTTAAAAATTCCTGATCCAAGACTGCTTTACCGATGCCGGATAATATGCAGTAACACGTAACGTATTCCAAAGCACATCCTCTTCTGTTCAACAATTATGACGTCATAGGAGCCCTTGAAAGATTCAATGACGTCATGCCCCGGTAACCTCTCGGTGGCCCTGCACGTGTTTACGACAAGATGAATACATCTCGTGAAACGATTTAGTCACTCTGATAACTGTCTTTACTTTTAGAGTTGACCAGTTTGTTCTGTACTGTCGAGTGGTGGTCAACCAGCAGTCATCAGAGTGAGAAAATGATCTGCATTCTTTCCATCACATGTACTTACACCTATATATTTTAATTACAATGTTTTAAGCCTCGTTTACACTATCAAAGTTTCGGTGATCATAGTAGGAATTTTGCTTAGGCCAAAAAAAAAATATGTGGGTTTCCGGTTTCCCGACCCTACCTAGCTTTTGGACGTCGAAATCCCGACCCTAAACTTTTTTATTGGATCATGCTTGTAAGTGTTTCCACTTAGAGGAAAAAGTTTGTGGAAAATTGAAATTTGAGGCAATATTACGGAAATTTATCTTTGGATGTGGAAGCACTGACTAAACAAAATGGCGTCCGCTTGTTCGGAAAATTAAAAAAAAAAGTTAAAACCGACCTACCCTACCTAAGTTTTTATAAGAAGAAACCGGAAACCCACATATTTTTTTTTTGGCCTTAGGGAAATTGTAAGTTTTGAAGGATTTTGTAGGAAATGTTTGAGGAAACTCAGTTAGTGTTAACACATGATCAAAACTTATTCCTTGCACCTTAGCTGTGCTCTGTGGTCAGACCGCCTGGTGTACACTAGCAAAGTTTCTGTGATCACAGTAGGAATTTTGCTTAGTAGGGAAATTGTAAGTTTTGAAGGATTTTAACGGAACCGACTCATTGCCAAACACCGAGTTCCCTCAAACATTTCTTTCAAATCCTTCAAAACGAATTTACCGATGCAAAATTCCTACTGTTAACACTGAAACTTTGGTAGTGAACTTTAAAACTTTGATAGTTACGCTTTAAATCGAAGTCAAAATACGAAATTTCGACAAACTCCTTGCAGACCGCGCAGAGAAAATCAATAGAAAAGGACTGAAACTGACGTCCAATAGCTCTGTCTTTGGCTTCACTTTTTGGACTCGAGTTTCTCGCTCCAGATATATATATGGAGCTCACTGGCTACGACACAAAGACTGTTTTCTCATTCTGACAACTGCGAGTTGACCGCTGTATGCTGCCTCGCTTGCTGGAACCAAGACAATTTGGCGAAGTGGATTTATTTAGATTACCTTACGAAGTATACAAGTGTGCACGTGTGTGTGTGTGTGTAAAATATATATATTTCTGAGAGAGATGTGGCACAATACCACCCTACCCCATATAGATTATATATTGACCTTGTACATTACTGGGTGGTACCGCTGACAAATTATAATATAGGCTCGGATTAGTCTCTGTACATTAAATTGTATTTTAACGATGGAGATTTTGTGGCGATTTTTTCATCATCACCATGATCATCATCACCATCATGATCATCATCATCATCACCATCATCATCATCATCATCGCCATCGCCATCATCATCATCATCATCACCACAATGTCTATCATTGCAATGTTGGTGGCATCGTCATCTGTCCTTCACGTGATTGCAATATGCAATTGTCGGAAGAATGCTGCTGATAGCTTGTCTTCGAGTACTTTGTCCGGTTTCCTCCTGTAGTTAATACAGGAGCCATATGGAATGACCCTTTCCTGACTTCAAGCGAGAACAGTTTAGAACTGATAGAGTTATGCAGTGTAAACAAAGTTAGTTTAGTTTAGGTTTCCTCTAGTAGCAACACTGGATCAATAAGAGTTTATCCTTACTTGACCTCTAGGAAGAACAGTTTAGAACTGATAGAGCTAGACGCTAGTATAAATAAAGTTAGTTTAGTGTCGGTTTCCTCCTATAGTAAGTTAGTAACACTGAATCAATAAGAGATGATCCTTACTGCACCTCTAGAGAGAACAATTAAAGTAATTAAGAACTGATACAGCTACCCAGTGTAAATAAAGGTTTAACTTTTCGAACACTTTGTACCGACTTCCGTTTTAATTCAGAAGTACTTTAGATGAGCATACACACCCAGCACTTGAGGCAGTAAACGTGCAATGGAGAGGGTATTGCAAAATCTCTCGACAAGCACTTGTGATTGATAACTGATATGCTTAATCCTTAGGCCGGGTTTCCGGGTAAAATACTTCTCAAGTTCAACAGGGAAATATTTTATGTGCGTGTGTTTGAATCGGGTTACTCTACAACATTTGTCTTCTGTTTCCATTTAGTTACCGCATTCCTTATTGACTAATCCAATCACGAACTGAGTTGTAACGGTATAGATTATACATTTTTTTAGTTATCTAAACTAAACTAACTTTATTTAAACTGGAAAGCTCTATCAGTTCTTAACTGTTTTCCCTAGAGATCCAGTAAGGATCATCTCTTATTGATCCAGTGTTACTACAGGAGGAAACCTAAACTAAACGAACTTTATGTATACTGGATAGCTCTATCATTTCTAAACTGTTCTTCCTAGAGGTCCAGTAAGGATCATCTCTTATTGAACCAGTGTTACTCCAGGAGGAAACCTAAACTAAACGAACTTTTTTTCTGGATAGCTCTATCAGTTCTAAACTGTTCTTCCTAGAGGTCCAGTAAGGATAATCTCTTATTGATCCAGTGTTACTACAGCAGGAAACCTAAACTAAACTAATTTTATTTATACTGGATAGCTCTAACAGTTCTAAACTGGTCTTCCTAGAGGTCCAGTATAGGATCATCTCTTACTGATCCAGTGTTACTACAGGAGGAAACCCAAACTAAACTAACTTTATTTACACTGGATAGCTCTATCAGTTCTAAACTGTTCTTCCTATAGAGGTCCAGTAAGGATCATCTCTTATTGATCCAGTGTTACTACAGGACGAAACCTAAACTAACTTTTATTTATACTGGATATCTCTATCAGTTCTAAACTGTTCTTCCTAGAGGTCCAGTAAGGATCATCTCTTATTGATCCAGTGTTACTACAGGACGAAACCTAAACTAAACTAACTTTATTTATACTGGATAGCTCTATCAGTTGTAAACTGTTTTCCCTAGAGATCCAGTAAGGCTTGTCTCGTGAAGATCCAGTGTTATTACATGAGGAAACCTAAACTAAACTCATTTTATTTATACTGGATAGCTCTAACAGTTCTAAACTAGTCTTCCTAGAGATCCAGTATAGGATCATCTCTTACTGATCCAGTGTTACTACAGCAGGAAACCTAAACTAAACTAACATTATTTATGCCACAGAAGGAAACCGAAGAGCCAGTAGTTAAAACCCGGAGATGTTTGGTAAAGCCAAACGTCACTCCGCGGAGTTTCATGTCGGATGTCGTTGGCTTTCCACATGCGCGTCTAGTATGCATGTTGACGTCATGGCTTTCAGTTTCCCTCATTCCCTAAATTTTCTTTCGCGGAGGTGGGTGGGTGGTGTTCGTAAGAGATGAATTTTGACTCCTTGTTTACCCGCATACATTAATGAACGTACTGTACCCTTGCCAAGACAGAATCATGTGACGAAGTCGAAGACAGAGGTGTCGCAATTAAAGAAAGAGCTATGATAGTCATGTCCGGTAATTAATAATTACCAAATATTTGAAAGCATTTTGTGTCACGTCTTTTATATACGAAAATGAAAACAGTGGATACATTTCATAAAAAAGAAAACTAAACTATATAAAGCCACGAGCATATTGACGTTTGCAACTTCGGATCACCGTGTTGACGAATTGAGGTGTAGCAAGTATTTGCTGTTCGGTCACGTTTTGTTTGAGGAACGTCAATGACTCGCTTCACCTAATGATTTAACAATGTTTTCTTTAATGGTTTTGCAACAAAATGACAAAGTGTTTTGCGATTCAAAATTGAATAGAAATATTTTTCGATTTCGTGTGTTGAAGGCTCGAAGCATTCATAGCATTGTATAGGGTTTCTCCTCTTCACTGGTAAAAGCCTCGTATATAGGAATGGTTCAGTTCCAATGAAAGTCAAAATTTTTTCAAATGATTACTGATTTCAATAAGAAAAGCTTGGATGAATTTGCAATCATAATATGCTTGAACTGTATCTGAGATGCCATTGAAATGTTAAAATTTTTCAAATCATTACTGATATCAATAACAAAAGCTTGGACTGTATCTGAGATGGTCGTGTTTTGGAACTTTGTACAACTTTATTAATTCCATCGTATTTAGTTTTATAAAATCTATACTGTACTATATAGTCAGTACGTTATAGGCTAGTTCTGCTAATAATCTACCCAACTGGTTAGCTAACTAAGTAAATGAACAAACGAAGTACTAATTAGTTGATGTTTAAAATAGTTGACTAACTCAAGTAATTAGTTCACATACGACTTTATCAGCCCGCCATCATATATCCGGATATAAATAGGGAGGCTAAGTCGTATTTTGAGGTGAACTGTTCATTGACCATGAAGCTAAAAACTGGTCCAAGCCTTCGAAAACTTTTAGAACTACATAACCTTCAAATGCGGTGGTGGGGACTGGGGGTCAATTCTGAATCTCGCAATTAATTTCACTGGCACTATACCTATACTATAGTAAATTTAATTTCAGAACCATCCTCAGAGATACGAAAAACTAGTTTCATATTAGTAAACTATACTAGTAAAGGCTTGTAAAATCCAGTATATTACGTTGTCCAGATTGTAGTCCGTAATATGTCGTGTTTTAGTATTAGATGGATGGACTTAGTATGGGATTCTAGTTCTATTGTCCAATCCTTCAATTATAGCTGCATGTGTATTTTTTATATAATATGATTGTAAAGCTATAATAAAAATGCGAACCCAAAATTAGCCCTGACCATACTCCACGACCACGGTTTGCCTATAAATAACTAAAAGGAATTTAACCAATTCGTTCTTTAAGTCTTTTTATTTATATTTAATTATCAGTTACTAGCGACTTCTACCAAATTCCAAGTATTTTTCGCGAACGTGATATTGATTCAGCTGACGTACACTTTTAAAGATGTTTGTTTATTTTCTTAGTCTCGTGCTATCGGGGCACTCACGTATGACAAGTGTTACCACTGGTCTCTATTTTTTGTACTGGATTGCTTGTGGAAGTTCAAAGGGTCGTGCCTGTAAAGCTTTTAAATATAGTCAAAACCGATGCAACACTACCCAACAAGTGTCCAAAACGAGGCCAACAATGTGGAATGGCGTTGCACGAAGATGTTGGCCTCGTTTCATTTCAGAGAACAGCTGTTGTTTTTAATACTTGTCCCAAGCAAACTAAATTATTCCATATATAGCGTGTGTTCAAAAACCGAAATCCCGCTTTAATATTTCCTCATTAATCTACTTTAAAACGAAACGGATGAGGAAAGTGAAATTTATTTCTAATTTTCACTTTTGAAGCTATATATATATATATTCCTCTTACATCATTTGCTTTTCAGCTTGCCGAAAAATGTAGGTCCAATATTATTGCAATATAAAATTCAAAAATTTCCCTACTTAATAATCAGATTATATCAATGTTTAGTATGAAAGCTTTTCACTATGACATATTTCGAGTTCTTGTTGGCATTTTAAGTTTTTAATAACATCCATTAATTAAACGTGTTTTATTTTGGAAACAGTAATTATAATAATACTGCCACTTTAATTATTCGGCCATGTTTGACAGAAGTCTCGATTGTTCGACAATTTGCATAACTTGCAATTTTCACTTTCCCAACATATTTTCACTTTCGGAGCTGAAAAACACCCAACTTTTATACGTCATATTTCATAGAAATGCATTTCCCTGGTAACTATAACCTGGTTAAAAGATCATTACGTTTGAATATTGAAAAAATAATAGGTTAATTTACGAAAACAAGCTACCAGAAGCTTATATATATATACAAGGTAATTTTTTTCCTTCCTGTATAATTATAGCAAATATACTGTAACTATATATATTCTGGTGCATTTTCTCTCTCAAAAATGAGCAGTTAAACTACAAACCGTATACTGTAGGAGCTCGTTTTAAAACTCCGAATGTATTGTACTTATTTACCTGAGAATTTAAGCCTAGTGAAAGGATTTTGAACATGTTTTTTTGGCTAAAAGTCAAACTTCAGTGTTCACGCCTACGTCAGAGGAATCAAATTTCCATAACAAAAGTAGACAAAGGTCAAAATGCTGTTGTCAAGTGCTAGGCGACGCTTCGTTGGGTCATTATTTTATATTTAAACCGAAATTGCTTCATCTGCCGTCAGTTAGGAACGAGGCGTCTTAAACACGCGCTAAAGATACAACAAAGAAAGATGAATACTCCATTCGATTCCAGTCAAGAATATCGGGCAACTTTAAGAAGGGAAAAATTTAAAGCCACAGCAATTTGGAATGACATGGTGAACCACCTTCGCGGCAATGTAGTCGTTAAACGACGCCGTTGGAAGATGAAATCATACGACGATTGTTTTCAGGGCTCGGAAGCTATAACCGCTCTGCAAAATTATGTTCAATCTCACCCGGACTTGAGGCACAGTGTTTCGAGGGCACAGCTTCGAAATTTGTGTCAAATTTTTGTCCAGAAACGTATTCTAGAATCGGTCGAGGATCAGAAAGGCGATTTTGAAGATGGCTCGAAGTTGTATCGATTTGTGGACGTGCCTTACAGCAATACTGGCCCGCAAGTTAAGCAAGATTTCAGAAGGTTTGTGACTGTTTTATTGTTGTATTTTGCCGGAGATCAGTTAGCGAGCTTTTTGCAAGTCATGTATATCTACCATCACACGCAAGCTTTGTTGTTGTGACCATATAACCAAGGCGCGGGGGCTTGTTATTTATTAGTTCGATATCAGAAGAATTGTAGCTTTAAAATCTTGTATTCTAGTATGGTTTTAGTTCGCTTTTATATAGGCCTTTTACCTGACGTGCCGTGTTCAAAAAGAGCTATCAAACGTCTTTGAATAAAGCGTATCGGCTTTTATTGTTGTGACATATTAGTCGAGGCAGGAGGCCCTTTTGCTTTGTTTTGTTAATATTAAAAGCTTTTTAATCTATGGCCTTTGCATGGGAATTGCTCCCAAAACTCGTAGCCTTCACAAAGAACTTTACTGCTAATTGAAATTTAACATTTATCTGATGAAATGGCTCGCGGGGTTTACTACCCATTTACCGATTAAAACCATCTGGCGTTAGACAGAATATTAAAACGAACGAAAGGGTGCATTAAGGGTATATTGATGCTCAGTCGGATAAAAATAGAAAAAGGCTGAATCAGTTTTGAATCAGCACTAACTAAGCTTAAAGTAAGCATGTGGTATCACATCACTTTCAATATTACATAATAATCTTGGCGTCATTTTATTTCCTGATGATGTTGGTGGCATATCAGGAAATACTGCTTTACACTATCATTGTACCAAGGTTTCTGTAATCACAGCAGTAATTTTGTAAGAAATGTTTGAAGCAATTGACTCCGTGTTGTCGATTCCCTCAAACGTTTCTCGCAAATCCTTCAAAACTTCGAATTTCCCTATATGCAAAATTTCTACTGTGACTACAGAAGCTTTTATAGTGTGCAGCACCTCTGAAGGTTAAAAATTTGCGTTGCTATTCTCACCCTTTTGTTCCTGTGAATTTCTGTTCTTGGGATCAAAGTGATTGGGGGTGGACCACATTGTATGAGGGGGAGTGAAAGATCCCCCTCGTGCAGAGAGTGGTTTTTAAAAAAAATTCTTGCAAAAATTTTGGGAAAGGAAAAAATTCCTACACAGCCTCTACACCATAATTAACAAGGTAAAGAAACTTCCCCCACCCTATGATACCAAACGGTCCAGCCCTTAATTGATTAATTTGATTAATAGGCTATCAGACTTTCATTGTTGAAAAAATATTGTTACAGTGTGAAATATGGGATCCAGTGTAGATGGTATTCTATGATAAGCTGTGGGTTTTGTCTTAAAATAACTAAAGGTTTTTAGCAAAGCCATTGGTCAGATTATTGCTACTGTTCAGTTGCTGATAGGTATAGTCAGGGTATTTGTTCTAAGATTTTACCAATTACTATTGGAAATAGGGATGGTCAGGCAGCCTTTTTGGCGTCCACTCCAATCGTCTGGTCATAAGTTCCACTTAGAAAGTGGTCTATATAGATTCTCAGACCACAGACGCCTGATAAACCCGGCAACATGCCAGATAGATGAGTCATCCATTGAAGTCATGTGGGCCTAGTAAAAACATATGTTGGATCTGAACCTGAAAAAAAATTTTAAATAGTTCACTTCAAAGTCCTTTGCCTTGTTGCCAAGACGCCTTTGGAGGAAAGGCATTTTCTCAAAAGGCGAAAGTTCGATAATTTTTTTTAATCTTTCTCAGACACAACCCAAGACACTATACGTGCATATTAACAAGAATATAGACAGCTATATAAACAACTTCGGGCATAAGTCATTCCCTGAATAAATATTTCATGTTATTTTATAAAATCGTATAACCCTAAAGCAAACAATATGTTGATAATCATTCTCATATAATCCTAGAGGGTGGTGCAAGAATCCCATGGCAACGGAAACTATTTATGACCATATAAGGAAGGGACAACTTCTGACCACTCGACTATATTTCCATAGCTTATGGCATGCATAAGTTGAAACAAACCGCCAATCTGGAACGAATTTTATACAGTATCGTGCACTTTAGACAATGACTTTTTATCACAATTGTTTTTTGAATATAAACTGTGACTCGAAATATGTTTTACCTATCTCAAATTTGGGGGTCTAGCCTATATACTCTGTAGGTAGTATTCTTAACCTGTCGTGGTTTGTGTCTGAACTATCTGGAAACGATATCTCAAACGTGGTGGTCCAGTGTAGGTAGTATTCTACAATAAGCTGCTTGGTTTGTGTCTGAACTTCCTGAAAACGATATCTCCAGCTTGGCTTGGCCTTGGGGGTCCAACGTAGATTGTATTCAACATTAAGCTGCCGTGATTTGTGTCTGAACAATCTGAAAAAATTATAAAAAATACTAATACATGGCCATGGGTTGCTAGCCATTTATGAAAGTACTTTTTGTACGGAAGTATGTTTTAATTAATCGGTGGAGGTGTGTAACTTTGGCTACTTAGCACGCGAATTTTCCTAAAGAATAGAAGAATATCATTCTTTCAAGGTCGACAATTTTCCTAAACAGGAAAAGCACAGTACTGTATATACTCTACCGCTTTCCTGTAGGGGCGGTGCGATCACGATAATGCCAGTGGCGGCGCCAGGCTTCCAAATTTGGGGGGGCATTTGAGGGGCAAACTCAAATTTGGGGGGGCAAGATAGAATTTTTAAAAAGGTCGCCCCCCCCAGGAGATTCGCCCCCCCTCAAAAGGTGGGGATATTCCTAGGAGTATCGCCCCCTGGGGGGCGAATATCCTAGGAATATCGCCTCCCAGGGGGGTGGGGCGAATACCCTAGGAATATCGCGCCTCTTTAGGACATTCGTCCCCCATATATGCGATGTGGTTTATTCAAATAATTTCGTGATACGTCTTACACGTTTGAGAATTTAACTCTGCAAAACTAAAGCTTTTTTGTCTTTTTTTTGAAACGTATTATTGGAGTATTGGCAAGTTTTACCATTCAGAGATTTACAAACTAATATTGCAACTGTAAAAAACAGTTTCATGTATACGCGCATTCACTAATGAGTAATGACAACTTATAAGCCATACATTTTCCGATAACTACAAAACGCTTGTGTAGCCTTTAGTCGCTCTTAGTGACTAATAATTTTTTTTGAGGGGGGGCAAAATGGGGGGGCAAAAAATAATTTTGGGGGGGCATTTGCCCCCCCTTGCCCCCCCCTGGCGCCGCCACTGGATAATGCATTCCAAAGGTCTCCCACATTTTGTGTGCGCGATCATATTTTGTATTGAATTTAAATTTGGGCAGTTTTAGGATTCCGCACATCGCGCAAAAAGCATCGCAACTGAACAACAAATATGTGAAAAAATGTCGAAAACTACTTTAACTATATATAAACATTTTTGGGAACTTTTTGTGAACGAGTGTTTCGTTTTCAAACGTTATTTAAACAAAGAAACTTTCAAACATTTTTATCTTTGTTCGAACAACCACAAAACTATTTTAAGGTTGCTAAACACTAAACTTACACTCACTTAGCTACACAAGGTGGGTCAATGGAGGTCTCGAGGAGTACTGAAGACTTGTTCTTAGAATTTAAAGTGTGTTTATTGTTAACAACCCATGCAGAAAATGCCGCGCCCTGACGTGCTAACAATCTTATATTGTGCTCTGCCTCACACCCAATGATTTTTTGTCAATAGGCGAGGCCTAGATTTAAATGATAATGCAATGCATAACTTCAGATAAGGGATAAAAAATAATTTTCTAAAGGCTGCATTCCAGTTACGCGTTTTTCATACGTGCGTACACGCACGTAAAAGTTGAATTCGCTTAAAATTTCATGTAAGTGCAAATAACCTTAACAAATACACATGCATTAAGTCATACACAAAACTGAATACTGTCCTTTTATAAATTTAGTTATTTCATAAGTAGAATGTAAAGCGAATTCAACTTTTACGTGCATGTACGCACGTATGAAAAACGCGTAACTGGAATGCAGCCTTTAGTTACTTCTAAATACGTAAACATTAAAAATACATAAATATTTTTAAAACTCTATAGTCAGTTTTGTATGCGAGGTATTTTGTATGTGAAAAGAGTCTTTTTATATATATATATATATAATGTATATATATATAATGTATATATATATATATATAATGTGTATATATATATATATATATATATATATATATATATATATATATATATATATATATATATATATATATATATATATATATATATATATATATATATATATATATATATATATATATATATATATATATATATATATGTATACATATATATATATATATATATATATATATATATATATATATATATATATATATATATATATATATATATATATATATATATATATATATATATATATATATATATATATATATATATATATATATATATATATATATATAATATGTATATATATATATATATAATGTATATATATATATATAATGTATGCAGATGCCAGAAGTCGAAAAACGTTCTTAATTCATATATAAGGAACTTCTTAATTTGCGTCATTTGTTCGAAACGTCATCCATTTTAATATAAACATAAAGCGATATATTTTGAACTAGCTAGAATAAATAATAACTCTTCCCTCTTATTCTTTCCAACAGAGACAAAGCTTTGCTGCCTCTAAAGAAGGAAATCTCTATTCGCGAAGTGGACATTTTGAGGCGAGAAATTTCCGCAGTTCGCTTGCTTGAACTCGTCGACATCCCCATGCTTGAAAATCTTCTTGAATCATTTGAGAATTACGCCGACGACGATGACGATTATATTAGCAACAACAATTTGGAAGTTGAACAGGCCAATAAATTGGGCCGGGAACACTTGGATCAGACCTTGGAATTATGCGACAATGACCAAGAAAAAACGTGGCTTAAAGCGACAATCGAGTGCTTTGATTTGCAGATCAAGTGCCCTCTTCCGAGAAGAACTGAAATCGGATTCCGAAATTCATGGAATGATAGCATTCTGGGAATTTTTAAGACTTTAATCGACTACTATCGCTCGATCGTGGAAACTCTTTTTCCAACCAATGTTGCAGAGGTTATATGTGAGATTTCACGATTGTTACAAAATGGGAAATACACAGAGTGTCTTCGTGCGTTACAGTTGCTGGTGGTTCTTTTGCCTTTGGATAAATCGCAACATTTGCAGAAACTACTTCAGTTCATGTGTCTGTCGGTGGATAATAATATTCAACCGATGGCCGGCGTTGATTCCAGAGAAGGCGTGTGCGCTGTGTTCATGGATGCTATACTACCAGAGTGTGAACAACTAGATAAGGTATAATAATTTATAATAATAATTTATTCAAACAAAGTCCCAATATTGGGACATAGAATACATGGGTAAATAACTAAATAAGTCGTTACGGTCTGTAACAATAACAAAGATATTAATATATATGAAAAAAGTTGATAAATGTATAAATACACATACACGCACACGTGAGTAATTAGACCAGGCTATCAAAAGCAGCCAAAACGTCGAAACAATATTTGCCTACTAACTTCATTATTGACTTATCCTTCATAGCCATAATGTATATAAATAGGTTTTTCGAAGTAAATAAGTTGAAAAACCTATTTATTTTATATAAATTATCAATGAATTTTGTCCTGAGGTCGATGAACTTCATGTTTGTACAAGACATTAAAAAGTGATGTTCATCTCCTACTTCATTTAACTCACAAAGTCTGCATAGTCTATCATTGTATGGGACATTGTTGTATCTACCAGTTTCAACAGTTAGCTTATGTGCTGATATTCTTAACTTTGTAACAGCTTGACGATATTTGAAATTACTAATTTCGTTTAAGTATTTTTCACATTTAAAGTGTTTTTTTTTTATTTTATATGATATGGTATATGATCTTGAATATGTTCCCGAGTTTTTGCTTATATTGCAAAAAATATGATTATACTATCAAAGTTTCTGTGATCACAGCAGGGATTTTGAATGGATAAATTCTTTTGAAGGATTTGTAAGAAATGTTTGAGGTAATTGACAAATGTTAAACACGGAGTCAACTCCCTCAAGCATTTCCTACTAATTCGTCACAACTTAACCATAAATTTCGAATTCGTTATGATTCACACTTCAGAATTTACCCATGCAAAATTCCGAATCAAATTAACTTTGGTAGTAGTGTAAAGGCCCATTCAGACCGGACGCGATTTGGCAACGCGATAATTATGGTCTTCCCTCTTGATAATCTCTGAATTATTTTCGACTTTAGGTGCAAAGATATTTTCTCGTCAATTTCATGATGGAGACGCATGCGAACCTCTTTCATATTCCCGAGGATGTTCTCAAATACCTTCAAGAAACCTTACAGGCGTTTGAACAAGGTCGCACCGATCTCCCTGTGGTCTCAAAGTGTCAACGAGTGTCTGTGTTTGAGTACGAGCAACAAAGGGAATTTTGCACTAATCAGCAATTAGAACATTTAATTAATCAAATCTTGGATGATTTAACGATGTCGTTGAAAGAGAAAAAGATGGTGCTGAAGGGCATTCAGAAACATCACCCAGAGGTGTTTTTGCGACAGTTTCCTGATGGTGAAATTTGAAGCGGGCTGGTACTGCTCAATGGTAAGTTGAAGTTGAAGTTCTGGTCAAGTCCTTAGCATCATAATATCTGTCGTCACCATCATCATTATTACCATCATCATCACCATCACTATTATCATGGTGATAAACCATCTCCACCATCACCACCACCATCATCACCACTATCACAGCAATAATCTCATAATCATCACCATTATCACAATAATCATTATTAAACCATGTCAAGTCCGTAATGTAAACAAATCCTTTGTTTACATTTTGAATATTTGTAAGATAAGACGTATATACTAACTGAATACCTAACACTTTTCTGGTTCGCTATTGTAAGTACTAGATAAAACATGAGCAGCCGATCTGTATCTGATATACAAACTCGAGCCGAAGGCGAGAGTTTGTATATCAGATACAGATCGGATGCGAATCTTTATCCGATTTACAAACATTGATTAAACATTCATTTCTTTTGTATTTTCCTCCTGAATTATTAATGATTTTTTTAAATGAATATAAACTGGAGAACGTTTCAATTCAAAAAAGTTCGAAAGATGCAAAATTTGGGCAACATTTATATCTGTGGGAATCTGTGGGTCCCCCTTTCTTATGAGCAGAACTGATGCGCAGAACGGACTTTACATGGTCTTTAATCATCAAACCACCAATAAATATTTTCAATTCGTTCAATTTTTACTTCATATTTATTCAAACTTGTTTTCTTTTATTTACAGAAATTCACCATCACAATTTGCAAGACTTCGTTGTAAATACACATCGGATTTTTATAGCCACAAAGATTTACCAAACTTTTAATTTAATATTACAAAATAAACTATAATTTCACGCCAATAGCTTTTAGATAGTATTAAATTAATATATTATATCTGTTTATAGATAATTTAACGATCTTAATTAAATTGTTTTAATAAAGAGAATAAAATTTGTTGAAAATGTGTCACTTCTTTGTTTTCTTTGACTTAATTTTTCCTGTAAAATTGCTGACTTGACAATAGTTAGTCCCAAGGGAGAACAAACCAATTAACGTTATCGGATTGAACCAATCACAATCCATCCTTTGTCTGGGGAGCCAATCAGATCACTGGATCCTCGCGCACGAGTTCCACACAACTAATTGAGGAATTCTAATATATTCAACTTTTTCTCGCTTCTCTCGCAATTTCGCGAAGAAAACTTCAATGTTCACTGCAAAATTTACGACGTATAACTTCGTTTAAAACCTCTCAAGTCCCCAAGATACAAAGCTTCAAACATGTAAAAGGTAAACTATCTTATTTGTTATCGTATAACGCCGTGTGCAGTTCATATTATGTCGAACTTAAACTACTACATTGTGTCTGCCTTGCAATGCAATAAAATGCCGATTCTACAAGTTATGCGAGCCCAACGTCGCTGTTCCGAGCTTGTTCAACCGTTCTTTCTTGCTTTGGTTGTTCTAGGCATTTAATTTCGCTCTAAAGTTTTGTGATCAGTATTTTCCCCCTAATTTCACACATGAGCAGAAAGGACTTTAATAAAGTTCACCCAAAATCCGGGATGGGTAAAAATTTTTCCTCGTCCCTCGTAGGCTAATCTGGGGGGAAGTTACTATGTAAACACTGATCAGGGGGAGGGGGTGAACATGTAAACACCTAACCGGGGGGGGGGGGGGGGGAAG